CAAATTAGGTGCTGGAAGTGTATTGATCCAAGAAGACAACAATGGTGTTGACCATCCTGTTTGTTACTTTTCTAAAAAGTTTAATGAACATCAGAAAAATTACTCTACTATAGAGAAAGAGTGCCTTGCTCTTATTCTTGCTATTCAGCATTTTGAAGTTTATCTAACTTCTTCAAAGTTGCCTGTTGTTGTCTTTAGTGATCACAATCCCCTCACTTTCTTGCATAAACTTAAAAACAAAAATCAAAGGTTGTTGAGGTGGAGCTTGTTTTTGCAAGAATATAGTCTTGACATAAGACACATTAAAGGGAAAGATAATTTGATCCCTGATGCACTTTCACGTGTCTAAAACTGTTATTTTCAATATTTTAAATTTAACATTTATATGATATGATTTTTTTTTGTTGTTGTTGTTGTTTGCTATTGTTTATAATACACATATATATGAATGTATAAAATTGTTTAACATTTCTCCTATGTTATTCGTAAGTTACATTGTTTGGATTTATGTAAAAGAAATATTCATTTCATTCATATTTCTTTTTCTTGAAGAGGGGAAGTGTTATGTATGCAACATATTACATGTATATAATTTATATCTGACCAGTTGGTATTTCCAATATTATCATTGTTCTATTTTTAGAACATTAACTACATGTATGTACTAGAACTTTCTTAACTGTTGTAGAAAACTCATGCATTATATTTAGATAGAAACTTCTGGAATGTTCTTTATTGTTGAAGTTGCTAGATTATGATTACTTTAGAACATAATAGACTTTTCTGGAATTTTCTTAGTTAATATATATAAAGTGACATTTTTCATTACTTTTACCTTTTATGTCATCAGTGATCTTTTTAGTCATCAGTTACCTTTTAAGTCATCAATATATTTGGAGTATTTTTCAACTTGGATATTGAGTGATTTATTGGAGCTTGGATTATTTAATAATAGTTAAAATTATTCTAGTGGATTTTATTGTGGGAATTTATTCTAAAGTGTTCTTGGATTTTACTATGATTTAACTGTGCTATTCAAAAGGGGATCATTCCAGGATCAGACTACATATTTGAAATTTACATTTTTATTTGGACTTCAGGTATTTGTAAACATAATTTGTTATTTTATTTTTTCTTTAATAATTTTCTGTAATAAATCTGTTATTGTTACAAGTTTGTTGCTGGCTTTTCTTTCTCGTTACGCCTGGCTCGTAACAAGATTATCAAAGTTCACATATGTAGCATAATCAGCATAGCGACAGGCACAGTTTTTTTAAATTATTAGCCATGTATCATTTCAGGGTACAGTAAATACAAGTTAAGCCATTTATCATTCCAGGGTACAGTAAATTCAAGTTAAGCAATTTATCATTTCAGGGTACGGTAAATTCGAGCATTTATGGGCTTGTTGGAACTTGGGCTCTACCGACGGAAAGAAGCCGATTTCTTGGAATATGTTGGTTTGGTAAGAGAAATAAGCATATATAAGTGATTAAGATTGAACAATGCTTTATACAGTCACAGACGCCAACCTGAGCTGATTGATGTCATGTCAAACAAAGCATCATATAAACTATTTTATAGCATTTTCCTCACCATTTCTAGTTTTATTTCAAATAATATTATACTAACACAAATGTAGTTTCATATCTTCAAATCCTTATTTAGTCATATCCTCATACAATCAGATTTCATACCATTATATATTTTTTCCATCAACTCTCTATACCATCATATCCTCAAACCATCATATTTTCGAACTTTAATTTCCTCATTCCATAATATTTTCAAACCATTATATCATTTAACCATCAAATTCTTATACCATCACATCCTTATACATGTACCATCATATCCTAACACCATTTTTATATGCCCGAAAGAATTTCGGGCATATTATGTTATACCCCCTGGCGTCCCTCCGTCTGTCTGTCCGTCCGTCCGTACGTCCGTCCGTTAGCAATTTGGTTTCCGGAGCATAACTTAAGTTCCATTTGGCCCACCATATTCAAACTTCATAGGATGATTGTCCATATTGGGTAGAAGACCCCTATTGATTTTGGGGTCACAAGGTCAAAGGTCAAGGTCACTATCACCTTAAAACTGAAAACAGTTTCCGGAGCATAACTTAAGTTCCATTTGGCCCACAGTGTTCAAACTTCATAGGATGATTGTCCATATTGGGTAGAAGAACCCTATTGATTTTGGGGTCACAATGTCAAAGGTCACTATAACCTTAAAACTGAAAACAGTTTCCGGAGCATAACTTAAGTTCCATTTGGCCCATAGTGTTTAAACTTCATAGGATGATTGTCCATATTTGGAAGAAGACACCTATTTATTTTGGGGTCACAAGGTCAAAGGTCAAGGTCACTATCACCTAAAAATTGAAAACAGTTTCCGGAGGATCACACAAGTTCCATTTGGCCCACAATATTCAAACTTCATAGGATGATGGTCCATATTAGGTAGAAGACCCCTATTGATTTTGGGGTCACAAGGTCAAAGGTCAAGGTCACTATTACTTTAAAACTGAAAACAGTTTCCATATCCTAACTTATGGTCCATTTTGCCCACAGTGTTCAAACTTCATAGGATGATTGTCTATATTGGGGAGAACACCCCTATTGATTTTTGGGTCACGAGGTCAAAGTTCAAGGTCACTAATACCTTAAAACTGAAAAACAGTTTCCGGATCATAACTTAAGTTCCATTTGGCCCACAATATTCAAACTTCATAGGAGGATTGCTATTTGAATGAAGTAATACTTTATTATATCCCATGTCTTACAAATGCTTCATCCTTACTAAAAAAACAAAACACTTTCGGGCATTTTAGTATGTAATCATATCATCACTTTAAATCTAAAAAAGTAATTATTATATGTACATAATAACAAAATATATATCATATTTAATGTAAAATTTAAAAATATACCATTGTATTGTCATTGTAATTATTATATCACCAAAGTACCTTTTAATTACACGTTATGTTTTCATATTTTCGCTTAAAATTTACCATATTGCTCTAAAGATACCAGTACCCTATAAATAGTATGAAGTAACAATATGATATCCAGCTAGAACTCCATTCATTTATGTTTTATACAGACAATTATTACTTCAGTATATATTTTTAAAATTTTCTATCAGGGAACCACCTGGGTGCAATTATCGGTCTCTCGACTTCAGGACTTCTTTGTGTCTATGGCTTTGATAATGGTTGGGCATCAATATTTTATATACAAGGTAAACAACATAATTATTTCTTTTGTCAGCTTAAGAGTATTAAAACAATAAATAGTTTTTATCAGCAGCTTTTATACCCTTAAAGCTGCACGCTTCCAGATGAGCCAAAATATTTATAGAAAATCAAACTTGAGAAAAATGTATTAAGATTTTAAGAAAAGTAAAATAATACAAGATACAATTAATGACTTACATGTTTTGTGCAATGAATGAATTATTTCGCAGTATTTATCAACGTAATTATCCTGCGTTTCTTGTACAGTAACGGCTATTTTTGTGTGCAAATTTTGACATCTTTTTGGTGATTCACGTGACTTAAAAGTGCCGTTTGCAATGTATAAGATACTTTTTTGGTTCATTTGAATTTGAATACATTTTCAAAATTTTCATGAAAATTAGCATGATTCTGGAGGCATGCTGCTTCAAAGAAAAACTCAATTTTCGTTTTAAATAGCAGGAGGTTAAAGGTAATGATATTTACATTTTATCAACCTTTTACTCTAAATGTAGTTGTTCCATACTTTTGAGTTTTCATCATTATTCTAGTGGGTTATTATACAATGATACTTGTTCCGCGATTCCGTAAAATGACACAAATTATGTGAAATGTTTGACAGGTACTTTGACGTTAATATTTGTTGGCTGCTGGTGGTTTCTGGTCTTTAGTTCGCCAAAAAATCATCCGAGAATATCGTCTGTGGAAAGAAATCTGATTATTAAACACGTTCCACAAGACACACAAACTGATAGAACGAAAAAGGTAAATACGTCTCGAGAACAAAATTAAAATAGATTTTACATTTTAAGCAGATATACTAGTTTTTAGTTATGCAGAGTTTCGTCCAGGAATTTGGAGTTAAGTATGTAGCTTTGTCGAAAATTAAAATTTTCATACTGTAATTTGTTTCTGAGAAACATAGATCCGACATTTCAAAGTGAACTTTTTGTGCAAATGCTAGTAATTTGCAGTGTGCATAGTATCTACATGGGTTTGCTGAAATGATGTTTTAAACATATTCATACATGTCTCAATTATGATGTTTAACGTAAACGTGTGCTTCCATGATTATCACACGTCTTTGCCTGTTCGTGTTTAATTTTGAAATATGCGATTCAAATTAGGCGAAGATGGTAGCTTGAACTTACCACTGACGTTAATGGAAATGCAGCTAAAAATAAACAAACATGATGTTTCAATAAACCTTTTCAGAAAACTGATGTACCCTGGAAAAGTATCCTAAGCTACTTACCCGTTTACATGGTGTTTTTATGCCACGTGTGCGACACATGGACGTTCTACCTACTTGTTACGTGCCTTCCATTGTTTCTGAAAGAAATTCTGCAATTTGATATAGAAAGTGTAAGTATTTCACTGTATTGGTACTGCTTTAATTCAACTACCTGTGTTGGAGAGGACATTGAGTGTCTTGTGTTATATGGTCCTTTATTTTTAAGTTCAGTAGTACTATAAAATAATCTGAATTTTAAAAGAGATCATTAGAGAAATCTCAGATTCTGGACCGTTGTAAGTCGATTTTTTTTCAAAATAAAATTCCTTGCTAAATTAGTTTGTCTAGACCGTTGATGGTTGGGTTTGAAGTAACAGCGGCATTAGCAATGTCATATGGCGACCACCAAGCTTTACTGAGTTAAAAATGTCATCTGGTTGAGATCGCCCAATCGACGGACGGCGCCCGGGTGATGTTTTTTTCGGATCGGACGATTGTTTTTAATACAAAACATCGTCCAGTTTTACAGGCACCCGGGCGGACATCGCCCGGCTCCGCCCGGTCATCGGCCGGGTCCTGTCCTGCGTCCGAGTAGGCACGAGTTGGCAAACGAGTGTCGCCCGGTACCCGGACGATTTATGCACAGGCACCGGGTGGTCATCGTATTGTCGTTCGGCGATCTGCGACCTGAGGTTTTGTAATTGCGGCTAGAAATTTTTGTAGTTGCCTAAAAACGTATCTGTGAATTCTTTTGGATTGAACATGAACTTAATGTCGAGCAAGAACGTCTACGCGTGTAAGTATTAAAAAAAGGCAAACTACAAATGTTGCATTATTTGATTGGTCTTCATCTTGCCTTTATCAACTGCCTTCTTTGCTGGACTGATTATTAAAAGAATATCATAAAATGCCCACGCGGTGATCGTCCGATCCATTGATAAATCGCACAGACGCCGTCAAGATATCAACTGTAACATCATTTCGGAAAAAAAACCCGCCGACAGATTCATGCATGACCACGCAAAGTATCATATTTATAATGGCCGGCGTTCGCGAAATCGTCAAAGCCGATGATGTTGTAAAAATCGTTAAATCGGCTGACGGCCGTTTAATTTGAGACCGAGGTATTACTTATTCGTGGGATCTCGTTGAAATGACTTAATATCTCGTTTCCACAACTTAGCTATCTCGTTTCCAACGAGATGTTTCCCGTGTATATCATAAAATTTGATTCAATATATGTACTCTTTGAATGAGTGTCTGTGAAATCGAAAAAAAAGAGTGGCTTCACAAGATTAATTTATATAGGTATACTGTTTCAAATAGCTACAATGTATATTATTTTGTTTTTGTTTCAGAATGGACTTTTCTCATGCTTACCCTACCTTAGTTACATGATTGGAATAGCGGTTGCTGGAGTAGGAGCAGATCTCGCCCGCTCGTGGAAAAATACTTCAATAACTACAATAAGAAAGGTCTTTCAAATAACAAGTAATAGCCGTATATTTCGATAATATCACTTTATTCATAATTCAAACATTCGGTAAAAACGGACTAAATCCATGTTTTATAGTTGTTAATTTCGTCTGATAATTGATTCAAATACTTTTTAACTGCTAGAATCGGTACTAAATTATTCTTAAGGCGGTGCTAAGTGGCATAAGAATTCTTGGAACAGAATCAGTGTCTTAACTGTTTAACATAACTTTAATTCCTTGTCAATTATGTTCTTTAAACCAAATCAGGTAATACATTACTTCAGTAAACCTGCTTGAATTTCATTTCAAAATTATTTCAAGGTTTCGCTGGTGTGGCTATATTTATTTTAATCCCGGGACACTTGACATGTGAATATAGATATGTAGTGATCACGTGCTTCAGTTTATGCACGTTTTTTGAAGCAATTGGCATTTCAGGCGGACACCTGCCAAATATAGTAGATATAGCGCCCAGGTAATGTAATTGTAAATCACATTTTCTAAATTTAAGAATAAGAACACAGATAAACAAGGCAAGGTGACTTTCACAGAACGCAGCCCCCGATACAACCTAGTCACCCAACAGGTCACCCAGAAGGCACCGAACCAAAAACCAGAAGAGAATACAAGGGTGGTGAAAAGAGTGGAGGGATATGTAAAAAGTGAATGAAAATAACTTTATTCATTATAGCTATGTAGTTTATTCCTTGAACGCTGGTGTTGATATAAGAATTTCTTGTACCAGCAAAATTGAGCTTGAAATAGACCACCCTTCACTCTTTCTCCACCTGACAATATAACATTATGTTGCAGTATTATTAATCTTAAAAAAGTTTAATTAAAAATTTACAGTCCTAATAATTGCTTAGTCGTTGAAACAAATAGTTGGGGATTGTAAATCCCTTATTAATTTATTGACGCGAACCCGTTTCGAAGTAAAATTCAAAAGATTAACATCATTTGTGAAAATGAAACTAATGGGTTTCTTATTGAATGTATATTTTTAAGTGCTGACTTTTTAAAAATAAGGTTAATATTTTGGCTGAATGATTATGTTAGTTTATATTGATTTACCTTTTTCAAACAGGTATTCGTCCTCTTATATTCGCTGTATTCAAACACTAAATTGCAAAAATTCCTGTATAATGCACCTATTGCAGTTGGAGAGATTACAAATCTGTAGTTAATACATGAAATAAAAATGTTTCTTTCATGAGACGTAAGCACTTAATTTGAATTGCTTGTATATGGATCATAAACAGAAGAATTTTAAACTATCTGAAAATGATTTATTTTTTACAAAAATATTAATAAATCTAAAAATGAATTAAAAGAAGAAGTCATAATTAATCAAAACATAAATGCATGTTTAAGATTGAATAATATAATCTAAATATTTTAATCAAATCTATAAAACAGATAAATTTTCGTGATAATCAGTTAGTGGGTAACGCAGTTATCATGTCAAAAAGAAGTACAGAACGCCAGTAACGCACTGATTTTAAACAAAAAAAACCTGACAAACAAAATTTCAAATGAGAAATATAATTATCTTGAACATGTTATATGATTTCAGGGTACTAGTGAAGAATGGAGGATTGTATTTTATATAGCCTCGGGTGTCGCCGTGTTTGCAGCAATAATGTACGGTATATTTGGAAACAGCGAACTGGCACCATGGGCGAGAGGAGCAGATGGTGATCTTGAAATGGAAGTCAAACTGTCAAAGGAAGCGCTTACCAAATGTTAAGATGAAGCTGTGGCAATATTAGACTAGAAAAATGACATATCAACCGCAGACCTGTGTGATTTTATTTTATCTGTCAAGATATGTGTGTCAAAGCGGAGCTACAAGGCCAGATTTTCAATTTCTTTGGTTACTTTTTACATTAAAAGAGAATAAATGAGTCGCAGTGATAAAACATTTTTTTTAAATGATTGTCTTTTTTCAGAAAAAAATTATTGGATTATTTGCATTGATCGTGTGTGTGTGTGTGTGCGTGTGCGTGTGTGTGTGCGTGTGTGTGTGTAAAAATAGCTTAGCTCATACGGAAGATGATGGTGTGTGTGTGTGCGTGCGTGTGCGCGTGCGTGCGTGCGTGCGCGTGTGTGTGTGCGTGTGTGTGTGTGTATGTGTGTGTGTTTGTGTGCGTGTGACATGCTCGATTTATCGAAGGAATCGTTAGACACACAGGGCAGTGGATATTGGCCCACTGTAGATTTTCCCTGATTATGAAAATTTTGCCGGAGTATAGTCTTAAGTCCATATGTTAGTGAAAAATGTAGTATGATATTAAGCAGGGAAAGACATTTTCACAAGGAAATTTCACCAGACATGATTTAGATTTTATGAGAAAATTATGAGAAAGATTAATAAAAACCAACAAGAGATTATACATGTATTCCAATAATCAGCACGGGTAGTGAGTGTCTTAACATACATGTATATAGCATTCAAATTACAATATATACGAAAAACAGAGTTGTAGCATCACGAAATTTTACATTCGAACTGCAAACCATCAAAATTGGATATAAATTGTACACATTATCTCTCCACTATTGTTTGAGATATTTGTTTGAAATAAATTATCAAAACTATCGAGTTCCCTCTTTTGATTAACTAAATAGCATGCCCTAACAAAGGCATTAATTCAAACAAATACCACCCCCATTGACATTTCCTTTCTCGAAAGTGCCTCAAATTTCCTTTGTCATTTTTATTATTCCTGGTGGTCGTATTTTCTGGGTTTCTTTATAAAAATAAAAACATTTTAGTAAAGAAAAAACACATAAGTTATTATAGATAGTTTACAGTTGAAATACGGAAAATGTGTTTCACTGCTGTAGAAAATATTTTTTTACTGTGAAAATACGCATATCTTTCAAAATTTTATGGAAAGGGCATAAAAATAGTGAAGATCAGGCGACAAATTGGCTGCTTACAAGTAAGCATAGAGGTAACCAATTCATCTGGACCAACACCACTAAGGAAGTTAGCTAATTAGATATATATACTGTTTTGTAAAGTTTGTAACTTTTAACCAACTTTATAATTTACATACATTTTCATGTAAATATATCTTGCAAAAAAAGTCCATGCATCTGTGATAAACCATTTTCTCTTGTGTTTACGGATGAGAAATTGATCTCTGCTTATTTTTCCCGTCACATCAGAATCGTACACTTTCACATGGATTTTATTTATATGTTAAAAAATTTCAAGAAATTATTATGAAGCAGTTGCAATCTATTATTATAAATGCTGGTTTCCCACCGCTTTGATAACATTCTTTCGATTTACATAAACAGAACAAGCGTGGAATGGCATTTCATGAAATCATACGTACACATGAATAATCAACTGCAAAGTAAATGGTCACTTTTACAATTGTGCCGACCTCAATCTCGTACTTTTTATGCAGACTTATCTATATATATCAACATACAAATCTTGAACAACCGGAATGCAGGTGTGTATAATTCAACGGCTCGTGCACACTACGCGCTCAGAATGGGGCGCTTTTTCTCGTCTTCGTGGTTTCAGGCTTGTCAGTAACTGTTGAACCTGACGTCCTGGAGACAACTACAATGGAATTGATCCATATAAGTGTAAGGTTTCATTTTCTTTTCTCAATTGTTGATTTAATATTCATATCAACATTACTTATATGTAACCACTCATATTAGAAAATTGCTCAATATTTATCAATATTTTACACACCTCCTCTATTGTTTGTGGCAGGTCTATATTTTTCGGATAGACATGTTTAAACAAAAGAAAGTCCGTTATGAGGTCTATCTTTTGCACGTGCACAGGTCTGTTATAGTCAGACAGACCCGGTCATGAAATACACGTGAAAAAATAGACCTGCCAATGCGCAGACAAAGAAAACATGAAATGAAATCAAAGAATAAAAATTGAAATTAAATGTAAATGATTGTCAAAATGTTCATGTCTAACAAAATCGGGATGCATTTTTTAAACAAAATAATGTTTATTAAATGCACTAAGCAATTATTCCAGCATCCCTATATTAAATCTTTGAATACAAAATAATGGAAATCATCACCGTTGTCGGTGCATATTTATTGTGTAAGTTTGCAATATTTCATATTTGATGACTCCTCTCGGCTGAAATTTAAAATAATGTTATTGTATTTTTTTGATCGCAGATCAGGAAAAACAATGCTGCCATTTAATCTCAGGACCAGCGCTTCCCGACTAACCTAACAACAAGTAGTCCCCAAAAGAGTTAAAAAAAGAAATATTTGATTGTGTTACAAGTATCCAACATTCTACAAGGCATTCAAAGTTTAAAATAGCTTTGGCTTATAGAATGACAATGAATGCACAATCACAAATTACGCGGATGAATATCATTTTAATCAATTTCTCGGCTATTTCCGTTAAGCTCCGGATTATTGTGATCGGAATTAAACACTCCCTAAATGCACATTTGTTATCTAGACTTTCTGAAAAATGACTGTAAGACAGGGACGAATTTGGTCAGTCGACAATCGATAATCAATATTTACTTATAAGTTAAGCACTCGTTCCACGTAAACAAAATGCTATTTTAGCGATGTCGATTACCGAAGACTTCAGCGCGTATTACACATGAAAACCTGACTGTCGAGTACTGAAATATATACATGTCAGACTGTTTTGGCGAGAAAATTTTCGCTTAATTATTTAAATAAGTGTTTAACAACAGATTTACCGTGAACAAAATACCTCGAGATTAATACGGATGGAAATTCTAAATTTGAAATCATTTGGTTTTATTCAGACCTGTTCGTATAATTTAACACGCTCGTTTAGGGTGTTACAGGTCTGGGGGTTCAAATCCCAGTCGACGCAACAAATGTTTATATTTTTCTTAGCGATTTTCACATTCTTTCTAAAGGTAGACCATGGGTTATACTATACCTCCTATTTAAAGAGTTCAAATTTTCTTTCCTTTTTTATGGGTATATCTCAGATCCCTTATGGAAGAAAAAAGTGTTTGATTTTGATTACCGGTATACAATTATTGTAGGTAATTATTTGCTTAATAATGCCAATTTGATAGCAAATATGATACCAGATATTTTCAAAGTTTAATTAAATAAAAAACTACACGATTAAAGTATTTTATATTTCACATAACCAACCAAGAATAGTTTATATAATTTGGGCAAACTTTGAAAACATCTCCTCATTTGCTCGTGTAATTTGTTACCTGAATGGCATTATTTGTTACAGATCCATCAACATGGCCATCCCCCACCGAATGTGTTTGCTCATTGGAAGAATGTATATGTAGTAGAGCGGAATAATTCCATTTTAAGATGTATTTTGGTAATGAAAACTGATGGCTATAGTGATTACAGATTTGAAACCTATGTGAATACTGATAGCTTAAAATAACAAAGGGCAATTACTGAAAAATAATGCAGGGTATGTTATCATTCTTGTGTGCTGCATCCCTCCTCAGTAAAATCCATCCACCTATGAAGTTTCAAGTTGATACCTCAAATACTTTTTGAGAAAAAAATTGAATTGAAAAATTAAGTATGAAAAATAACAAAGGGCAATAACACAACAATTATAAAAGGTAGATTTATCATTCTTGTGCAGTGCACACCTCCTGAGTGAGATCTATGCACCTATGAAGTTTCATTTTGATATCTCAAAGGCTTTTTGAGTTATGCTCTGGTCAAAAATTAATTTTGAAAAATAACAAAGGGCAATAAATCAAAAATAATGCAGGGTAGAGTTATCATTCTTAAGCACTGCACTCCTCCTCAATGAGATCCATCCATCTTTGAAGTTTCAAGTTGATACCTCAAATACTTTTTCAGATAAGCTCTGGACAAAATAGCATGAAAAAAAAAACAAAGGGCAATAACTCAAAAATTATATAGGGAAGAGTTATCATTCTTGCGTATAACATTCCTCCTCAATAAGATCTATCCACCTATGACATTTCATGTTGATATCTCAAACACTTTTTGAGTTATGCTCAACTCAGTTGAAAAATTAGGTATGAAAAATAACAAAGGGCAATAACTCAAAAATTATGAAAGGTATTGTTATCATTCTTAACTTCAAATACTTTTGAGATAAAGTCTGGACAAAATAGAATGAAAAATAACAAAGGGCAATAACTCAAAAATAATGCAGGGTAGAGTTATCATTCTTAAGCACTGCACTCCTCCTCAATGAGATCCATCCACCTATGAAGTTGATACCTCAAATACTTTTTCAGATAAGCTCTGGACAAAATAGCATGAAAAAACAAAACAAAGGGCAATAACTCAAAAATTGTATAGGGAAGAGTTATCATTCTTGTGCACAACATTCCTCCTCAATAAGATCTATCCACTTATGACATTTCATGTTAATATCTCAAACACTTTTTGAGTTATGCTCCACTCAGGTGAAAAATTAAGTATGAAAAATAACAAAGGGCAATAACTCAAAAAATTATGAAAGGTAGAGTTATCATTCTTGTGCACTGCACACCTCCTGAGTGAGATCTATGCACCTATGAAGTTTCATGTTAATATCTCATAGGCTTATGGAGTTATGCTCTGGACAAAAATCAATTTTGAAAAATAACAAAGGGCAATAACTCAAATATCATGCAAGGTAGAGTTATCATTCTTGTGCACTGCACTCCTCCTCAATGAGGTCTATCCACCTATGAAGTTTCAAGTTGATAACTCAAATACTTTTAGAGATATGCTCCGGACAAAAATGTCGGACGGAAGGACGGACGGAATGTCGGACGGACGGAGACTATTTTTATATCCTCCGCCGAAATTTTTCGGCGGGGGATAATTAAGAAAAAAAATACACGAAAGGTTATACATGTAACTATCTATTTTGCTAATATCTACAATATTTCTGTGTTATAAATGGTTCCTTACGATGCGTTATCATGATCGACTGATATTTGTTCTTGACGCATTTGCAATTAGTTACTGGTATGGTGAAAAGCAGTTTCAATAAGTGAACTGTTAACTACATCATACTTAAATCATGCTTATAGTCATAGCATTCGAAAATTGATAATAGGGAAGACAGTTCTAATTCCATGTACTGATTTAGTGAAATTTAGAAGACAATTTTATCTAAATCGACATGACTGTGTTTTCTTTTTCAGTAAAATAGTAGTGGTGTGTGTGTGTGTGTGTGTGTGTGCGTGCGTGTGCGTGTGCGTGTGCGTGTGCGTGTGCGTGTGTGCCGTTTAGTATATTGTGTTCATAAATCAGAATGATATATTGTTATATGAATAAAGGTATGTGTAAGGTGTGAAAATTTTCTATATACTTATTAGTGAAATATTAATAAATCTTAATGAAATAAAATGCGTATTTTCATTTTCCGTATTTCACTGTGTTTTTCTTTCACTGGAATGAAACATATTTCCGTATTTTCACTGGTGTGTTACCGGACTACTTTCTTCTAAATTCAACATGAACACAACAATTGAGATGAAGGCTTTCAGGCTTTGAAATTGTAATTTCCAAAATGTATATAATTATCAGAAAAGTCAATTTTTTTCTAAACATACAGGATTTATTATTATCTTGTCTTGTGGTATGAAAATTATCATATTTAACTTTATTTTTCATACCACTCGATAAAAATAAATCCTGTTTTTATAGAAAAACACCCCCTCCCTAATAAAATATAAAAAAAAAAAACATCAAAAGCAAAAACAACAATCCCAACTTTCGCTCGAAAATCGGCTACATTCGACTGTTTTCGTTAGAGCACGGAATAAACATACTCTAAAGAAGATTACTTCAAACGTTCAATGGCTGGACAAATGCAGCGAAAACAAAATACTGTCAAGTATCAAATTGTCACTGATGCGTTATTTTTTTTTTTTTAATTTTTTACTACTTTAGTGAATAAATGCTCTCTAAATCGAAACATATTATTTAAAGAACAAAACGCAACAATTTATTTCTATGCGCGCGTTTAGTTAACATTCTTTAATGCAGAAGACACTGGTGTTTATTTACACTATATACGGTTCACTCACGAAACAAATATTTGTATTATTATTAACACATACATGAACCTGATATATATGTCATTTATTAAAATCTTACCTATCATGAAACGATCACCAAAATGGTTTAATGATCTTATCTAAATCAGACGACTAGTTGCACATTGAAAGAGCCTTACATTATACCAAATAAAACAATAACTTCGGTACAGCCTTTGTATCATCTAAAGATCAGATGTAGATAATGCACATTTAACGTTTTGAAATCCAAACAAGACAGGTTGTCACATAAAGCTTAAATTGAACGTGTGACTTTGGGCAGCAAAGATTACCTCATTAGCTATGTAAGTTCGTATGAAATATGTTTTGATGAAATTTGAATAGAAAAATTTAACTTCATTGTCTATATAAGTGATTGTGTAAGTTTATTTGAAAGAATTTGGACTATAAAATTTCATATCATTAGCTATGCATGTGTTTGTAATAGTTGTTTTGGAGGAGTTCAGGTGGAAAACGTTTAACCACATTGGATATATAAGTTCTTGTATATGTGTATCCGAAGGTACTGGAACGACATAGTTTAACCTCATTGGCTACTTGGCTATGTAAGTGCTCGTGAAAATTAATATTGAAAAAGATCGAGTGGCAAGGTTTAACCTCATTGGTTACGTAAGTGCTCGTGAAAATCAATATTGAATAAGTTCGGACGGCAAAGTTTAAACTCATTGGCTATGTAAGTGCTAGTGAAAATTAATAATGAAGAAGTTCTGACGGTAAAGTTTAAACTCATGGGCTATGTAAGTGGTAATGAAAATTAATATTGGAGAAGTTCTGACGGCAAAGTTTAAACTCATTGGCTATGTAAGTGCTAGTGAAAATAAATATTGAAGAAGTTCTGACGGCAAAGTTTAAACTCATTGGCTATGTAAGTGCTGGTGAAAATTTATATTGAAGAAGTTCGGACAGCAATGCTTAACCTCATAGGCTATGTAAGTGCTAGTGTAAGTTGATATTGAAGAAGTTCGGATGGCAAAGTTTAAACTCATTGGCTGTGTAAGTGCTAGTGAAAATTAATATTGAAGAAGTTCGGATGGAAAAGTTTAAACTCATTGGCTGTGTAGGTGCTAGTGAAAAGTAATATTGAGGAAGTTCGGACGGCAAAGTTTAATCTCATAGGCTATGTAAGTGCTAGTGAAAATTAATATTGACGAATTTCTATTTGCAAAGTTTAAACTTATTGGCTATGTAAGTGCTAGTGAAAGTTGATATTGAAGAAGTTCGGCTGGCAAAGTTTAACCTCATTGGCTATGTAAGTGCTAGTGAAAAATAATATTGAAAAGGTTCGGATGACAAAGTTTAACCTCTTTGGCTGCGTAAGTGATATAGAAAATTAACATTATAGGTTTTCGGACAGCAAGCCTGAATAGCTATGCAAGTGCTAGTGTAAGTTGAAGAAGTTGAAGTTGGAAGAAATGTGAATGACAAAGATAAAACTAATTTGTTATTTCATTGCTTGTGTAAGTAGATATGAAAGAATTTAGACGACAAAGTGCAACATGAATAGCTTTGTAAGCTTTGAAGTGAAATAAAGCGAAAACAAACGTATAATGTACATTGCCTTAACCCGAGAAGGATAATGTCTGGTAAAATGGGATAAAAGATAGGCAATAACGGTAAAGGGGTAACAATAAAACCCGCAAACTCTTTTAGTATACCGCACACTGACACAATATAGCAAATACACTAAAAAGGCTAAAATTCAAACCATATCGCTTTCATAAGTATGAAAGCTTGCCCATGATTGTCTGTGTGAAAGCTCACCAGAAATGATTTCGTATATGGTCACGGTAAGATCTAAAAGCGGAGCGTTATTTCGAGCCAAATTTAATCAGATTGAATTGTCAAGAACACAAAAATAATCTAACGAAGAACAAAAGTGATATTATTCCATTTGATTATTAAAAAGGTCGCCCATTGATACAAACCAGTTATTTTCAAATTTAGACGAATAAGGTTTATTTCCTATGAATTTTATTCTATTTATAAAACATCGATTAATGAAATAGATATCACACACTGGTGCTCAACTTAAAAGATGCATATTCAACCCCAGTTTTAACCGGTAAGGTCCCGTGGTCACGGGAAGCATAAAATGATCATTTCATTACCGTAACACTCCACTATTAAGACACCGTATGGTATCAGTAAATTGCATATTATTTCTTTTATATATGCCATGGAGCTAGATATATATGTGTATGTGAATAAGCGCATAAACATGTTTATGGTTATGTTTTATTGTTCAATCTAGATACGATAACACAAATAGGACCGATTGCATGTTTCAAATTCAAGTTTAATCGATACCATTTGCACAAACTTAGACTTTAACTCGTGTAAATTGTTTACTTAACCCAACTTAATTTTAATTCGAAACCGTAGAAGAAAGGGATGGTTCAAGCATAAGATTGTGAGGTAGGCGAACACTTCTGAACTACAGCATTAACCTGTGAGTGACTGTGAGAAAAAGATTTCTCTGGGGGACAAGGAACCGGGGTTAAATATGACTGGAACATTTATCACGTACAAGTATCAGTAGCTTTGCTGCTACCATATCTGCTTGATGAATGCATTAAATTACAATTCGCTTTTTGGTTATATTTCTTTCTTATACTTGTTTTTACCATTTTTATGAAAAATACCATATGGTTACCCTATTTTCACTATGTAAATAGTTTTTTTTTCCATTTAATTACCATGCTCTTACTTTATAGATAATTAAAATATTTAACATTGAATGGTTACAAGAGTCTTACAATCAAACTACTTGTACTAATAGGTAGGAATATGAATATAAATTGTATATGTACATTATTGAGACTTTTATAAATATACAGTAGATAAAACAAATATTTTCAGTCAGATTCATTTAAAGATGACTTTTATATCAAAAACTCATTTCTTTTATATGACACATCTTTTGATCTATATGTATTTTGATATGTACTATAGACACAACTTAAAAATGCTTTCGGTAATATTACTTATTTTAAGTTTATACATGTACATACAATCATGTCAGCTGCTCTTGTTCTGTTTGTTGAAAATAATAGTTTTACCATTTGTAGTAATTTATATTAAATTTTGATTTTGTAAACACACTATCAAACTTGGACTCTCTTAACTTTTTTATTATATAAAATTGTAAACATTCTTAAAGGAAGAGTGTTTTATTTTTGATATATTTCAGGTCATCAACGGATAGGAAACGATTCTATTTTATTTTTGCTGTTGCTTCTTGCGCTTTGATTTTTGTGGTTCACAAACAAAGGTATTATTTCACGTTCCAAACAACCTTTTTCGGATCAGAATTTAATGACTTGAGAGCAGCAGAAAATGAAACAAGGCCGCACATTTTACTGATTATTGCAGACGACTTAGGATATAATGACGTAGGATACCATGGATCTCGAGTCAAAACTCCAAATATAGACAAGCTAGCGTTGTCTGGTGTTAGACTAGAAAACTACTATGTTCAGCCAATTTGTACGCCTACAAGAGGTCAACTTCTCACCGGAAGACATCAGGTTATTGTTTTATTTGTTTATCATTTTAACATATAACCATTATACATGAGGGTTCTCCGAGGTTAAAAATAAACTGAAACTCAGATCGCAGGTATTTGATTGGCCAGGAACTGATACAGACTACGCACTGACCAATGGACGTCAAGAGGTTTGAGATGGAATTCAGAAAATTAGTTCTATAACTTGTATATCACCGAGGACATTTTCTCAATACTGTATAGTTGAGATTTGCTAATGAGAACAGGGTGTTTCAACATCAATGCTGATTAAGTTCAGCTTTAAGTTGCTTTTATTTTATATTAATTAATGTGCAATTTAATGTGCAATATTAATGTATAATTAAATTCCTCCTTAAGCTCTCTGTTTAAAGAAGGAAACGTTTACAATTTAGCACTTATTTGGCTGAGTAATTTATCTTATAATTTTAGATATACACAGGGTTACAATGGGTACTTTGGCCATCTACACCATTAGGACTAGACTTGGATAGCACCACGATTGCCGATAAGCTGAAAGAGGCTGGTTATGCTACACATATTGTTGGAAAGTGGCATGTTGGCTTTTACAAAAAAGAATATTTACCTACGAATCGGGGTTTCGAAACTTTCTTTGGTTTGTATTTTTTATGTTAATAATCTGTTTATTATAATACATTAATTTGAATTTGCATAATTTTGACCAAATTGCTATTGTACTCGTTATGTATGTATTAAGCATCGTGTCTGTGTTTATCATGTTAAATTATTAAGAGGAAGCATGCTTCGTCTGTCACAAGTTACATCACTTGAGAAAGACTTTGCTGTCTCACATTATAAGTTATCTGCGGGTCAGTACACAAAATGGTACATATTGAAGACTTACGTGTCCGTGCTTCGGTCTTTTCCCACATCAATGTCTAATTGGTATAAGCCAAATGCACTGAATATCTGTATATAAAGTTTTTATAATCACAAATATTTTCAGGTTTCCAATCTGGTCACTCCAATTATTTTACCCATGAAACTGTTGACGAAAACATGAAAGGATACGATTTGATGGAAAATGACAAACCAGCTAATATCTCGAAGTATCTTGGTGTATATTCGACCAATCTCTTTACCGACAGAGTGAAAAGTATCATTCATACTCACGATAAATCAAAGTTAAGTCAGACACATTTAACCCTTATAGGTAGTCTCACTGCAATGCTTTCCCACCAAAAAATCTAACATCGGCCAATAACGTAGCAAATAAATTATTTACAATCATTTATTTATTGCTATGTACTAAATTCCGGTTATGAACGGTTAAAAATATTGAATACCGAAGACGTTCCGGACATGGGCGATTTATTACTATATTGACCGATTTTATAAATTTTAGACGAGAAAACTTTACAGTAAGACTACCTAAATTTACTTGTCCGCCTTAATCTGGATAAAACCATCCACCTTTTTCAGGGAAAGTTTTGAAACATGTATCCACTGAATAGCCAACGGTACAGATCATGATCATACGGCTCGGACCTTGGTCTGCTCTTATTTTATAAGTAGATTGAGTTGCTACTTGCAGGCTTGCAGTTCATAAATAAATAGATTACATTAACATTTTATAAAATAAAAGTCCCTGTAATTGCATTTTAGTACTACCTTCATACAAAATATTCAAATAAATTAATTTTCTATTATTATTATAAATGTTATATCGTTTTTGGATTTCATATTATTCAATATAACGAAAAATTAATTCTTAACATAATATTACGTTTAAAAACAAGAAAATATAAACAGCTCAATTTCAAGATAATTTTTGTTTTAAATCGTGCTAAAACTTTACTTTGTTGAAATAAATATAAAGATAATGAACTTGTAAATCTAAAGGGAGAAGTATAATGTATAAGTTTTGTTAATTATTCTAACCATACTCGACCTATTTATGTCTTCTCATAATCATATAACATTATCTGCCGTAACTATTATACTTTGTATTGCGTTATGTGTCGCAGATTGCTTTGGTTGTCTGTATTGTTGCCCGTTATCTTTATAAAGTAATCTGTCGTGGCTTTTGTAACCTTTATTTAGTAACCTTTTGTATTTCTTTCAAGCTGTTTTGACTAAGCAGTCTGTATCTATCTGTAGTATCTCTTGTAGTATTTATTTTAATATATGTTATATCTAGTGTAACAATTATCTGTTCATCATATTTATTGTAGCTACTGTTTGTCAATTCAATGTTCACTTGCAAACCCACTCTAGTATGAGCCTGTAGGTATACATGATTTAATAATAATAGTATGTGACACACTTTTGTGTGATCTGTTTTGGATATTTTTCTGAATAAACTTATAATAAACTGTTTTATTGGTTAGAGGTTTTTGTACCTTAAAACCACATATAGCTCCTTGCATAATATATCTATCTTTGCAGCCATTATTTGTTTATCTCTCGTATCAAGCTGTTCACGGACCAATTCAGGTGCCTGATCAATATGTTGACCTGTACGACAATACTACAAGCCTAAAACGCAGAAAACATGCAGGTAAGTTAACATCAGATGTCTACCTTTTCTCGTATGTTGTAAAACTTGCAGGAGTACATCTCGAAAACAAACTACATGTGTTTGAGTTATCATTGTTTAATTTGTTTTGCTCTTATCTAGTACAAAACGAGTGAAAACAACTTTTAATGGAATGACAATAAAGTGTGACAGACATTGAAGGTTCCGTGATGACCGCCATATGAACATATCTGCGGATGTTTCAAAATTCAATATTTTACCAGTTCATGTTTTATTTTGTGTTCTGTTTAAGTCGGTGCTAGGGGACGTGGACGGTATCCTACAACTACCACTACCTCCACTGACAGGCTTATCATGCCGAGCCTGAAACATTTTAAATTTTAACGTGTTTGGCTTTCCAAAGAAATTCTGTGTTTCTCTATTTCATAGCAAGAAGATTAACATGATCAACCTTAGAACAATAAACTGAAAATTGAAGCTTAGTTGTTCTTGAGTTTATTGCAATAAATTGCATCTTTACAGCGCTCCCATTGGTTCCAGTCAGATATTAAACAAGTGTCGTGCGATTGACAACTTATGTTATAATTTTCAAGCTTACTCGCATAAAGTTGAATAACTTTTACATCAGCTCTTAAGTTATACCTTAGGCGGTGTGTGGGACTTCTATATTTCTCCTTGGCGCGTTAACATAGAGAAAAACAGAATCCATTGATATAGTCCAACACGGAAAAATGAATGTGTTGAAGGCACGATTTGACTGAGCATGTTCATGAACGGTAGTGGTAATTGCAAGTAACCGTCCACACCCCCTAGCACCTTATAAAGCAGACTTGTAAAAGGAAATCATCAAAGAAAGCATTCGTACCAAATAATTAGTGTTTGAATCATTGAGGATCGCTCAGCAAGACATTATTGTTGTGTGTGCGTGTTTTAGTTCCTTCCGTTCGATCTTTTCCTAAATGAATATTAATGAATCACCCTTAGAACATGTTGCCTGCTTTTTATATTTGTCTTCTGATGTCTTATGCAGTCTTTATAACCTCTAATCCCATTTCAAAATTCTTTTGTTCAGTTCCGCTCATTTTTTTTCTCGTTTACGGCACATGCATGCTATTCCTGGAATGGTACGAAAGTGTCTCATTGAAGGTCCCTTGCGTATAAACGCATCTGCAGATGTTTCTAAATTAAAAAAATTACTATTTTCATATTTAAATGTTGAGTTTTGCATAAGTCAGTGCTAGGGGGCATGGGCCGTAATTTGCATTTAGTTCTTTAGAGATTCTGTTTCTTCAATTTGTTTGTCCAATAGGATTGAATAATTTCAAAATGAATCGCAACACATTCACTTAAGATAATCGGTCAAATAAAACAAATGTTTATAAAAAGTCAAACATCGCGCCGCACCTAAATACTAACGAACTTTAATTTATACAAAATCAAATTTATGGAGTACGTAGTTTCATGTACAATGTTTTTTTTTTGTTTTGTTTTGTTTTGGGTTTTACGTCACATCGACACAGTATAGGTCATATCGCGACGTTCCAGCTTTACTGGTGGAGGAAGACCTCAGGTGCCCTTCCGTGCATTATTTCAGGCACGAACGGGCACCTGAGTAGAACCACCGACGTTCCGTCATGGACAATGTACCAATAGTAATATCACTTTGAATATTACTTTATATAACATCAACATCTGTTTATTACTTTAAATATTACTTTAAATTACATCATTTATGTGTACAAGTTTATATATTAAATGAGTTTGTTTTTGTTTATTTGAAAGGACAAGTATCATGTATGGATGATGGTATTGGAAGTGTTGTCGAGTCTTTAAAGCAAAGTGGAATGTGGGATAACACTGTGCTTATTTTCACAACCGGTATGGTAATAAAAACGTGGTATTATACAAGTTATATCTAACAGCATTGTCTGCCTTACAGGTTTTATTCATATTCAATGAAACAGCAAATAGATTTGTTTGGGGTCTGTAAACTCTCATTTCAAATATGTGTAAAATATAGTTTTCAATTGTATTTCAATGGACATATAACATTAGCATTATTCAGGTTCAATACAAATTAATCTTAGACTAGTGATATCTTCTCATAAAGATAATTTGTAATATTTTAGATAATGGAGGCCAATTAAATGAAGGGAGTAGCAATTACCCGTTGAAAGGTGGGAAAGGATCAATATGGGAAGGGGGTATACGTGCTGCTGGCTTTGTGACTAGTGTGTTGCTGAATGACAAGGTCAAGGGCTCTGTTTCCAAGGAACTTATGCATGTGACAGACTGGTTTCCAACACTTATAAATCTAGCTGGAGGAAATTTAAATGTTACTAAACCTTTAGATGGATTCGACCAATGGAAATCAATTAAGTGAGTTTTTATTTTTAAGTCAACAATGTGACAATAATAATTCATTACGAGCGCTACAACAACAAAAAATCGTCTAAAAATTTATTTTATTTACTTAGTGTACATCAAGAACACAAGTACACCTTAGTATAATTTGTGTAGAACAATTGTTTTTCTTTGAAATTAGAACAGTTTACTTCTAGTTTAAGAGTATTTTGCATCAAATATTAAAAAAACCCAGCTACTTACATGAAATAATTTTAATACACAGACTGGCCTGGCCCTAAACTGTAGCAAAGACTGGTGACTTTCGTTCCCAGAAGAGTAAGGATTAAAATGAAAAAAGAATGGAAAAATATTGGCCTAAATTTCATTTCCTGCTTACGTTAGAGAAATCTTGGAGTTTTACAGTAAATCAAAATCAAAATTTTAAAAATGTGAACGTGTAATTGCATGATTAGGGGAACCCGAATTTGCATGGATTTTCATACAAAAACATGTTTTTTCTAACTATTGATCTCCTTTATTTGCGTTTATATGTAAGCTATAATGTCATAAAGCAAGTTTTGTTTAAATAAAAACATTCGTTAAAATTTTGTTTCTATGTACTTCTGTATTAGTTTAGAAACTTCTATACAATGCTTTTCAATTTTCAGTGGACTGGAGAGAACACCCCGTTCAGAAATCCTCATTGACATCAAGCCCATTAATAAAGAAAAAAATGTTGACAAATATGATAACATATTTAATTCGACGGTACGAACAGGAATCAGGACTGGGCGATGGAAACTTATAACTAGTAAAATAGGTAATTTTGATACAAAACGTTTGTGTTCTGTTTGAGCCATCGTTCCTCCGAATAACCGACCACGTGTTATTGGCTCGTCGCTTCAGCTTATCGTTTCGTCGCTCCGACGTTTTAGGTTCATCAGAGCGATGCAAAGATACGATGGCCAAAACGGAACACCTTTCACAGCGGTATTTCTTTTGAGGATATTTTCATATAAGTAAAGGTTGATAGCCCAATTGTGTTGGGTGTGAAGTAACGCCGACAATGTATATCTGAGAGTAAAGACCAACTAGGAGATCAGCATTAAAGACACGTGACTCCTCCGTTATAGTTTACACTAATAGCCAACTGTCACTATAGCAAAACTCGAACAAAAACGACAAAGCGATTCCAAGTCAGAGAATCGGGTGAATTGTATAAGTTGCTGGTTGTGTGTTCTACTTGCAGTGACCATTGCTTTGTAAAAGTGACTCTACACCCATAAATGTTAGAGACCAGCTACATTTGATTTGAATGATAAGATATTAATCAAAACAAACATCCACAAACTGAGTCTTTGTTAGATAATGAAGCACAATCCAGATGTTATTAACATTTGCATTCCATTTCTTACATATAATACCATGATTACTATTCATACAGTCTTAATAGTATTCAAATTTAAATTTTATGAGCTATTAGGCGGTAAACAAAAAAAATATTTCAACTCTATTATTATAGTTAGCTTCTGTTACATATTTGAATGGTTTGAAATTATCATTTTAGGTAACAACGGAACTAAAGAAAAGCCTGTCTGGTTATTTGATATAGTAAAAGACCCAGTTGAAAGACATAACTTGGCCAATAAGTTTCCAGAACGAGTGGAAAGCATGCTTCAAAGAGTTGAATTTTATCGTCAAAGAATGGTTCCTTGCCCACTGCCTCCCCGAGACAAACGGGCAAACCCAAAGAAGCGGTCAGGTTTCTGGTTACCATGGTTATAATTCAAACATTATGTTCCTAATTGACCTATATATAGTATGTGTTTAAACAACGAACTGATTATTTACTAATAATAAATCTTACTTATCTTATTTTACTTATTTTTTGGTCCAACTGGAGGCATGTCATCAAAGCGGGCCTGTTGATAATTCAATTTGAACATTTGACAATAATTATTTCTACGAAGCATAAAAATAACTGAACACTATTTATTTTCACGAACATGTAATAATTGCATATAATGAATGCCTTTTGTTTCGTATTGAAAGACATATTTTGTACTTCACATATGGGAAAACAAAACTTAGCGAGGGTGGGTCAATATGTAATGCAATATGGTCAATAATTTAACAACAGAGCAAATATTTTATAATTTTCTATTTCAACCTTTTGAAATACTCTCCTCCTGCAGTACAAAAGTTTAGACTTTTAAATTCTAATTTATAAATGCTTAAACATAGACCTCCTTAGGATTATCCTTTAATTGCTACAAAGTGGCCAAACCAAGTCCATTTCTGCTCATTAGTATGACCTGCAAGATGTTTGTTTAGTCTAGGAACGAGAGGAAAGAGGTACAGGTCACAGGGTGCCAAGTCTGGGGAATCCAATTATTTTAGCTCCTTTGTGTGCATTGTGCGCGTCGTCATGCAGAAAATACAGAAAATTGATTTCAGTCGAAGGACAAACTTAATTCGTTTTAAATGTTTTTCAATTTTTCATTACACAACATATCTAGACTACTTATGTGTGACACGACAGCCTCTAGCACATCAGTCTCACTGATTCTCGTATTGAAAAGACTCTTGTCAATCCCTTGGCAATGTATGGTCGACTAATATATTCATGGCTCAAATCTTAGAACTAATGTAAAATAGTAAAACCATTTTTTCATCACCATTCACAATATAAGAAATACGGCGTCTGATATATTTAGAAATACAGCAAATGAGGAATCCATCTGTGAGATATTTGCCTAAACTGAGTGATTCTTCAGAATCGTATGGGTTGACCCTTTTGATATTCTTGAGGGTAAGTGAAAGTCTGGCATCTATGATAATGATCAGCCAGTAAGAATGGAGCGTTTCAACTAGACTTACAGGCATCTTTAATTGACTCAGGTATGCATCCATCTCGAAACAGTTAAATGAGATACTTCAATGTTGTAATAAATATTACAAAAATCATTTTAAACAATTATAGCAGATTTTTCTATTTTCGCTCGAGTTATTATGTAAGCCCGTATATGAGCATTTTCAACTGAGTTTTTACAAGCCATATTATACATGAAGTTACTCATTTAAGGAATTTTTAAATGTGATAAAATTCCCAATCTGTTTACTGTACACACAATTTTGGTATTATTTGAAAGCAGATGCTTAGAAGCATAGCACTATTAACACAAACACAAAAATCACAAGCTAAATAAGAAAATATACTTCATATTGCATTACATAGTAAGCAACTCTCGTAGTTTTATCATACCCCTTATTACCTAGAATAAGGTTTCAAACTTGAAAGTTTGGCGCGTTTTTCGATGAAAAGCATGCTTAGCAATTAAGCAAGTAAAGAAGAAATGCATTTCTGTAAGGAATAATATTGTGTGGTAGGAAGGATATTTTTGCGACGGACAGCGCGCCAGCAGACAGACCGGAAGTTAAACTTATCAATCATTTAAATAATTTAAAACGAATGACGCCAAAGAAAATAATACACACAACACATATTAAGTTTAATTGTCCATGCAAACACATGTTACAACATGTATGTTTAAATATTTCAAGTTCCAGATTGTACATAAGGATAAATCACCTTACTGGATAAAAAAACGTTTATTGCCGGTAATGTTGGATGATATTTTTGGTGACGAAGAGATATTGCAAATATGCTATCTTTTCGCTATCCTATGTACATGTACAATGATAGACAATGGTTATCTTATAGTTAATATAAAACGTCAAATATAGACAATCAATAAGGAAATGTGCTGAGATGCTAAATGTGTGACATTGATTTAATACAGAATTATTGACAAAATTTTCCAGTAAAAGGAAAAGCCCTAACGTTCGCATGTTGTAAACATTCTTTCATTCAATAATTGTAGTTGTACGGGAAAACCGGATAATGTCCCTAATTATTAATGGATAAGTTGTTAATGTTTGAATCACCAGCAGCATATAGAAAGGGGACTATAATCTTATAAAATCAAGAAACGTTCGCATGAAAAGGTATTTTTATAGATAAGGTCACTGTGTCAACGTTAAGCCTATAAGACTTGGTTTTTATGCGACAATTTCATTGTTTTTATGCAGAATAGGACACATTAGCATTTCGTGTTCATCTTTCTATAAATGAATGTAATATTGTGGTTTGGCGCATTCAGTGCTTTCAGCACTTTGCTTCAACTATAATTGAGTAATGTGGACATTTTTGTACCTCTGACCAGCGGGGCTAGCAGTCTGTACGGACATAAAGGTAAGGGCATAAATGAAAAATACGGGAACGGTCGAAAAGGCAATAAAATATATTTTAAGGTCATAAGAAGCAAGTATTTGGTACTATATAAAATAACTTTACCTCTAGACTGAAACATGTTAAAAAAGCATCCGTTGTGAGATCAAAATTAATTTTGGAATATTAAAATGATGGTTTCCTTATGGTATTTTACAGGATTGTGATTTAGCATGTATAGTGACCAAGCATGTATAGTGATTAAGCATGTACAGAAACCAGCATGTATAGTGGCCAAGCATGTATAGTGGCCGAGCATGCATATTGATTTAGCATGTACAGAAACCAACTTGTATAGAGATTAAGCATGTAATCGTGACCAAGCATTGTATGTGCATTAAGACTGTATAGTATTAAAGCAATGTATAGTGGGCAAGCATGTATAGTGACCAAGCATGTATAGTGGCCAAGCATGTATAGTGGCCAAGCATGTATAGTGGCCAAGCATGTTTAGTGATTAAGCATGTATAGGTTACATTAACAACATTTATACGAGAGAGAAAAATACGACTTAAAACAGGACGCTTTACGAAGTGGAGATACTAAAACACACCGGAAATGATCGATGATATACAAGATAACATTATATATGTCATTACCTTCTGTACGAGATCTTGAAACAGGGTCATGTACATGTATTTACGAAAACAGAAATAAAAAAATATGAAAATATATACCGCTCTAATAATCAAGTTAAACCTTACAGTTCGTCAACCATAACCATATAATTTAATACACCAGTTAATAACAACCCCATACCCAACAAGTAAATAAGCAAGGCTTTACTTCACACTGCTGGGTTAATGTAATTATTTCCTTTTTGGCCAATTAAAGAAGCAGTGCGGGAGTTTCAAATTCCCTTCCGCGGGTGTGCGAGCTGGCGATGCATATTCATTTGCCGAATTAAATCTATTATTTCATCCCCGACATTACACGAAAATATATAAAAATGAAAAAAAGGAATAATACAATCCCAAAAACAAACATACAAAAAAAAACCCCAAAAAACAACAATAGAAAACAAATAAACAAAGATAAAACGACTGCAAAATAATAAGACTTTATTGAATGAACAAGTGAAATATACATGTATAATTAAAATAACTGAAACGAAGTCATACAATTTTTGTGTTCTTTAAATGGGAATATAACGAAAATATGAAACATTAAAAAAAATTAATTAATGTCATATCTTTTGAACTAAAGCAGTCCTTCATTGTAAACATATTGTATTACTACGCTTCGCTAACCAAACTGAATAAAATATAAAGTCATGTGAATAGAGATGGTGTAACCTTCACGGTAAATAGAGAAAAAAAACCTATCAAATATCACCATTTCAAAATAGGTAACGAGAAGAAGGAATAAATAAGACTCTAGTCATTCAGGCATTATAGTTAGATCGAATCTTGTTCGGAATAAAGCTTCAAAATGAGGTGAGTGTTTAAATGATATATTTTGTATATTTGGCTGCTTTTAAACTGTTTAAAACCTTTAGCTTATACATTTATTATATTGATTATTGAGTTTTATATAAATCTATTTATGCAGGCCCATTAAGCTCCTAAAATGTTTCATTTTTATTTATATTTCTCAAAAGCTGTTTATATTTAACGTACTGTTACAGTTCACTGGCCATTTTACTAAACCGTGTTTTGCTTCTTTCACGTTTTGCTATTAGTTTAATAGTAGTAATTTTGTATGGAAGTCAAAATACTAGGCTAGATTGTTAACATTTTGCTACATTTCACATTAGCACATCATTCAGTGCTACTTATTAACGTGATAATATATTCTTTATATTATAGAACACATGCTTGCCTGTTCTTGAGATACAAAATGTAGTCAATTCTGGGGCATAAAGGGGACCATTATGTCTCATGTATGCGATCGTTTTTATTTCTCATAAACTTTTTATTTTTGGTTTCTAAATATAGTTTCCAAAACAATTACTTATTTGCCACATATATGAATTATCTTTTTTGCTTCTTTGCTGTTTTGGCAGTGGATATAGTTAAAGTGAATTAGTACTTTTATGAAAATCAAAATACTACTTCGTACCTTTACGATACATCATTGCATTTTAAGCGCTATTTTCTTCAGTACCTTAACATCTAACATTCTCTTAATCCATTAACATGTTTGACATTTCTTAAGTATTAATAAAATATGAATTTCTGAAGAAACATAATGTGCCTTTAATGTGCCGTTAACAATAATATGTGCAGCAAATATTGGTTTAGGCTACTAACCCACTTAGGAAATATTTATTCGTTTCTGGACATAATTTGCTTTTAAATCTGCTTCTTTCCCATATATTAAATATTTATTCGTTTCTGGGGCATAACGTACTATTCTACATATGAAGTAAAACATTGCAACGGTTTATAATTAGTCTTGCTTTTATGTTGAAACTTTGACATTATACAAAACTTACCTTGTAACTTGAGAAAACAGTCTCTTACGGTATATCAATAATATATTAAGTTTTTTATTTATTCTGGAAACATTGAGGTATTGAACATTGGACATGTATACATATTTTAGTTTACACGGTTCCTTACGCTACTAAATATATTTTAAG